GCATGCATGCATGCACGCACGCACGCACGCACGCACGCACGCACGCACGCACGCACGCACGCACGCACAATAATACAAGCATTGATTCCATTAATAATTATATTTAGAAATTTTTTGTTTTTTAAAGAGAAATTTTTTGTTTTTGAATATAAAAGTTTCAGTAATTTTTTAGATGGTTAATTCATTTTTTATTTTTTCCATGTTCTCGTTATTTGAGTTATTTCAGCAGTTATTTATTTCAGCACTCTCGTGCATAATTATTTTTTTCTTTTTTAGATTTTCAATAGTTTCTTTGCGAAGCTTTCCATTGTTCAGGTTTATTTTTTGTATACCAATCCATTATTAAATTCAATGTTTCCTTTTGTTTTTTACATCTCTTACATTTACTTTGGAGAGCTTCGCTGGCTATCTCTGAAATCAAATTACAAAGCTCTTGATGGTTTTAATTAATTTATTGCATGAAATTCTCTTTTTTTCCTTTTTTCTTCTTTTTTCTAATTAACTCGTATGTATGGAATATTGAAAAATTAAATAAAAGCAAGAAATATTTTGAAGTTGAGATCTATGCGATTTTTATAAAAAATAAGACCCTCTCGAGATGACTTCTTTTATTATATTTTAAGAAGATAAAAAATTATTCAAAATTAGCAATATTATATCAACTCAGCTGTAATGTCATTTTTATACAAAAATCAGTGATTGTCTCGAATGATACGTAATATTTATCTTGCATATGTATTATATATTTGCTTCTATTATCTTTTTACTACTTCATTACATTATAATGCAATCTTCGAACAATTTAATGCCAATTTTGTAGGAAAAATTTGAATATATATTCAATTTTAATTTTTCGATTTTTTAGTTATATGTATATTTTTTTTATTAAGGCTTCTATTCTAAATTTTTTAATGACAATAATGATATTGTTATGTTGTCGTTGTGTAACTTTTTTATCATTGTGAAACCTACTCAAAGATATTGTAACGATATCCTTACTGTCATTAAGAGTTACAGAAAGAGCTTAATCATTTTTAAATAGAATTGTAAGGCTTGTAAAACTTGTAAGAACTTACCGACTAGTATTCTAATTTTCTGCATATGTATCATAAGACGTATGATTATTTGTAAATATCTATGATTTCTTGTAAATTTTGTGATTAAGATTTTGTACTGTCTGTAAAAATATTATATAAAGGTATAAACATTTAAAAATTTTTACCAATCTTACAAGAAATGTTACGAGCCTTACGATTTTTACTTAGAATTTAGGTATTAGTCTCCCGAATGAAAATGTTTTTCCCAAATTGAGTAAGAAATATTTGATTTTTTAATTTATTTTTATTGTCAGAAGTTCCTTATACGATCATTAATTATTTCCAGGGTTGAGTAAGTTAATGTTTTTTTTTAACTGAATAAAGTTAAAGTTAATGGCTTTAAAAAATTAATAAAGTTAAGTTAAAAGTCGAAGGAATAAAAAATTAATAAAGTTAAGTTAAAAGTCGAAGGAATAAAAAATTAATTAATGTAAGTTAAGTCAATATTGAATTAACTTACGTTAAAAAAAGTTAAAATTTGAAAAAGTTAAATTTTGAAAAAAATTGTTTTTTAGATCATGATGTCCTAATTTTTCTTAAAATGAGATTAAATAACTATAATATGAATTATTAAGTAAATTAAATTTTTAATTTTTTTTATTCATACGTGATATAAGTATATAATACATAATAATATAACTATATAAGTTATAACTTTAAAAAAACAGCCAACATATAAAGAAGATACAAGATCAGTGATTACTTTTTAATAAGTCTTAAGCCAAAAGAAATTGACTAATCACAATC